TTCGTTCAAAGAAAACTTCGATGGAAACCCTAGTATATATTTTAAGGGTTGGTTGCGACTAGGACAGGTTATAGGTGCCCGAGCGCCGCAGCTAGAAGAGGCTTTGGGTGACTGAGCGCCGCAGCTAGAACAGGCTCTCTCTCTCTGTCTTGTAATTCGATGCATGCACGTAACTCCTTTGGGCCTCTATCTTCTCGCCGACCTAATGAAAACAATACCTTAGTGTTTTCGCCTTGCCGCATTAGCATTTTCTAACCTGAAGGTTTTTTGACTTAAAATTGTAAATTATCTTAGAATCTGAAATGAAAGCTAGATTAAGCTTGATGGTATAATGGAGTCGGATTGGGGGTAGACCAAGGTTGAATAATAAGGTTGCTTACTCTCACCAATGTATGAAAAATATGTAGATATTATACAACCTTGGGTTTCACGTTCTCATAATGGGTCGAGTCTATTAAGAATTTAAAAACGCTTGTTTAGAAACTACTCAATAACTAGGTCGTTCATGTTTGTTTTCATAACATCTTGTCAATGTCCAGAACCGTAGCAAGGAATTTGAAAATGGGGAGTGGGGGCACAAAAATAAAATTAGTATAGATAGATAATTAAGGAGCAAGCCGCAGGCGAAAATTTTGTATGACCTGAAGATCTTAAAAAGGGCCAAAATTAATGAATTAAAAATAAAAACCTAGATTTTTAACTTATCCCAGATTACAGTTTATTAAGATAAATATTTGTCTTTTTTCTTTCCCTTAAGTGCTATTGAGAAGCTATTTGCATCAAAACAAAAAAAAATGAGTTTAACGATAAATAAATGTATTACTGAAATTTTTGAATCACGAATAGCCACTATTTATTTTTGATACAGGGAAAGTAAAGGATATAAATGCGCGCCTGTAAAGATCAAGAAAAGCTCAAGTATGAAAATCTTTAGTTTTTTCGAAACTAAAACTCGAAAAAACCTCCCATGTAAGCTTAAGGATGAGTAATAGCCAGATTCGACTTTTAAAATGCTTTACAACAATATGAGAAGGTTCCAAGATTTAAAACCTTAATCTGTAGAATTTTGCTTTTATCAAACATGCAAATTTGTTACCCTATAAGAAAATGCAAGACAAAATCTTTTTGGGGTTTGTAAAACGATAGTTTTTGGTTAGTTTTTGCCTTATATTTTCACAGACGATAACAAAATTGCATGTTTGATAAAAGCAAACTCTGTAAAATACAATTTTAAATCGTTGGAACCCTCTTATAGATTGTCTAAACCCTTATACAAGTCTAAAAACAAGTTTCTGTAAAAAGAATCTAGCTATTGCCCATCGCTAGGTACAAACAGCTTCTCCTAAATTAAAATAAATTTGTCTCCATGTTACTTTTTGCTGTACGATGGTTCATTAGTATCATTAGCCTAAGAAAAGATGGGAAAAGCTTTTCAAAAATTCCCAAATAATTTATTTGAGAAAGCACTCAATATTTTTTTAATTTGAAGAAAAAATAATCCTTTACACATGCCCCTGTACCCACCCTCCTCGTAACGGGCCTGTCAATGTTAACCATTTACATCTTGGGTTTACATAATAACTTCCTTCTGTTAACCCCCCTACCTTTTTCCAATATCTTCTATCCCTCCCCACCCCCACCAAGCTACTCTT